GGATGCCGCCATCCCCCAGCCCTGGCACTGACGAGGAAGGACAGCATAATGGCTGAGGCTTGGGCTCTGGAGACAACACCACGTTCAAGCGCTGCCGTGGTCTTGGCCAGATTCCTTAATCTTACTGTGCTTTAGCTTCCTCGCCTATAAAACAGGCATAATGTAATACTTAATAGATTTGCTGATTATTAAATCAATTACTTGATTGTGCCTGACACAGCTTTAAGCGGGGAGGACACAGTTTGCCTTTTGGCCACTGTCATTTCAGTTTGTCAGTTAAAAATTACTAGTTAAAAATAATGTACCAGGGCTTCCCTGGTGAGGCAGTGGTTGAGAGTCCGCCTGCCGATGCAGGGGACGCAGGTTCGTGCCCCGGTCCGGGAAGATCCCACATGCCGCAGAGCGGCTGGGCCCATGAGCCATGGCCGCTGAGCCTGCGCGTCCGGAGCCTGTGCTCCGCAACAGGAGAGGCCCGCATACCGCAAAAATAATAATAATAATAATGTACCATCTATTCTTTTAAAAAGTAGGAATTTAAAACTCACTGTGCCCGCCCCCAGTGAGCAGAGTAGTTTGCTGTCCTCCACTGGGTTCAGCCCTTAACCCTGCCACTTTCTAGCTCTGTGACCTTGCCCCAGGTCACATTTATTGGCATCTCGGTCTCCTTTGTGTATAAAGGGGGTGATGGGTGGGTTCCGGGCCATGTAAGGCAGCCGGGGCCTGGCCCACAAAAAGGGCTTGATGAATAGATGCAGACAGAGAGGACAGGCAGGTCACTTTTTCCTGCCTCAGGCCCACGGCCAACTGAGGGCCTGCAACCTGCCAGGCGCTGCACCGGGCGGGCAGCCACACCAGCAAGTCCTTAAATGATTCACATGCAGGAGGTTCTTTAGGAGATTATACCAGAGAAGAGACTATAGAGACCCCAGATAGGTAAATTCCTCTTTGGGAAGAAACTCGAAGCCCAACTAAGGGCAGAGAGTGAGGTGTCAGTGAATGAGCACTGGCCTGGGAGTCCAGACACATCAACCTCAGGCGGTGCTTCCCCGCAGCAGGCTCAGAGCGCCCACCTCCTGCCCACACGGTGGACCCCTGGGCCCCTCCTCTCCCTGCCCCCTTTGGCAGAAGCATGGAGCGCTGTCCACATGGGGAGGGTCCTGCCATCAGTCATCAGGAAGGCATCTCATCACGATGACACGGGTGGGCAAAAATTAGGGGCATTATTACAGAAGGAGAGGGCCAAACTCTAGCGAAGCCCTGGAGGCTAGTGCCCAAGTGAAGGAGGGTGTACTGAACACTCTAGTTTCTCTTCACGAGTTAGTGTACGGGCACGATCTGCCCCTTGGCCCCGTGGTGGGAGGTCTGCACCCGGTGGTGCTGCCGGCTTTGGTGGTTGTTGACTCATCTCTCTCACTCTCCCCTGTGCCTGCCTTTTGGATCCATCCTGCGTCTTCCAGTGCCATCCTTTTCCCTTCATTATGTCTCCACCTTCTGTGGTGAAGTTTGTGGGCCATTATACTTCAACCCTCGCCGGTTTAATTGTTGCAATTGGCCCTGAGAGAATTCGGGAAATGAAAGTGGCTCCCACTGCCTGGTGATGAGGCCAGTGAGATCATTCAGCGGCTCCAGCCTGCACGCGCCCTGCCAGCCTCTGCGGAGTGACCGCTGACACACTCTCCGTGTGGGTGGCAGAGGCCTGGGTGTCTGGAGCCGTCACCTGGGGTGGAGGATGCTCTTGACTAGCAGCCTGTGGGTGTCCTGGCTCCGAGGAGATGGGCCATGCCATGCTCCCGCTGATCCTTGGAGCCTGAGGGGGCTGCGAGTTTGTCCACATCTGGATTTCTCTGCCTAGGGGGAGATGTGCATTTACCCAGATGCAGAGGAGGGTCTGGCTGCAGGGGGCTGCAGCCCTCTCCGGACCACACAGAGACCCCCCAGAAGGGCTGTGAGGTCAGCTCTCCGGTTGCAGGTGCAAGAGAGCATGTGGTCCTGAGTATGGCATTTGGAGTCAGGAGACCCACGTTGTGGTTCCAGCTCAGCCCTCGCTTGCGTGACTTCGCACAGGTCCCTGAGTGTCTGTTTCCTCATCTGCAAGGCGGCTGTGTGCGCCTCAAGAGTGAGCATGGCGATCGGTGGGAAAATGAGAACAAAGCCCTTGGCAAGGGTCTGGCACACAGCACTCAATCCATGGTGCTGGACTCGGTATTATCCAGTGTGCAGTTTCCATCGGTCTCCAGGCATCTGGCTGTTGCAGGCATCTGCTCAGGCCTGTCAGGAGCCACCTAGGAATTCAGGCACCTCAGAGTGGCCGAGTGATCTTCGTGCTTTTCCCAGAATTGTCCATCAGATTTCCTTTGCTCATTAAACTCATGAGGAGTACCTGCATCGTGTGCATCACAGGACTGGAGGAGTGTCTGCTGTACTCCAGGGAGGAAAGGGAGCACGTGCGCTGTCAGGGTCACAGGGGATGCAGTCAAGCCCTAAGAACGTACCAGAGTAGCAACCAGAAGCTCCAGCACTTAACCAGTCACGTCCCCTCCCCGGTGCTCAGTTTCCTTTTCTGTAAAATGGGGTGACGGTATACTTTCCCTGCTTCCCACCCAGGGCTGATGGGAGGGGGCAGAGTCAAGTAAGAGTGATCTGCCACCCTGACACCACTCTCCCAGGATGTCCCAGGGGTGACACAGGGGTCAGGACCTGCTGTCTCAGTCCCCCTCTGGCCAGGTAGGCCTGAATCCCATGGCAGAAATAAGGCAAGGGGAAATTGCAGTCTGGCTCTGCCTACCCCAGCTCAGCCCAGGGAGTGCCCCAGGCAGTAGGTTTGGGTTATAGAGACTTGTGATCCAGTTGCAGCTCTGGGAGATGGGGGAGGTCAGCCGTGACCTCTGTTTCCTCATCTGCAAAGTGGAGATTATTGTGCCCACCTATGCGACTTAGGACTTAGTGCCTCCACCCCAGACCGTGAGGTGTGCATGGACACTGTAGGCAGAGATGCTGCCAGGCTGTCATGGCCCCCAGGGTCTCCAGTGCCATCTCAGCTCCTGTTTCCCTCTGTACGACTCTCCATGTTCTCACTCCCCACATACTGGCTTTCTCTGCATGCCCATTCAGATGGTGGACCAGGCAGCCTACAGCTGCCACATTCTCCTGTCATAGCCCAGGATGCCTAGAGAGGCTGGGGTCTCCCCTCCATCTCTGTCTCTGTCTCTGTCTCCTCTCTTTCTCCCTTTATGATTCCCCTTCTCATTCCCCCCAAAACCATCAACAGTGGCTGGGGACAAAACCACTTGTCTCGGTCACTCCCGTGCAGGGTGGTGTAAAGCATCAGGGGTACACAGGAGATGGGGGTCACCTCCCAGTCAGGGAGGACAGGAAAGGGGCAGAGTCGCCACCAGGGCGGTGGATGCTGCCCCTCTCCTCGTCAGCCTCCCGGTGCACCTGGGCGAAATGCTTCCTGCAGTGTAACCAGCAGCCTTCCTGTAACTGGAGGAACGCTGCACTCTCCCCTCCTGCGGTTCTGCTCTGCTTGTTCCTGAACAGATGATAACAGAGATGGAGCATATGGCCCCCAAAGTCACCGGGCATTCTGGGAAAGTGACACTGTGCCACCCCCGGCTTCAGGGGAGGGGCCCATCGGCTCCTGAGCACAGCTTCTCCCTTTGTTCTTCAGAAGGGCACAAGGTCACCTCCTCTGAGCCACCTGAAAAGGAAATGTGCTCACTGACTTCAAGAAGAATCCCCTCTATCTAGGCACTGATTTAGGCAGGCACACATAAGGTGAGGTGATATGTGTCGGGGTGGGGGACATATGAGAGCCAAGATAGAGTCCCTCTTGGGCCTCTCCCACCTCAGCCCCCGCTCAGGCTTGTGCTGCCTGTGGGACACCCGCCCGACCTGACCTCCCACCCCCTCCCCAACCTGGTCCTTGACTGCTCCCACACACAGTGGGGTCTGGGCATCCGAGCCCTGGCCCCGTCCCTCCTGGCTCTGTGATGAGCTCATCAGGAAAGCTGCCTCGAAAGCCCCGCCTGGCCAGAGGGGAGGCAGAGGGGGCCCAAGAAGGGCTCAGAAAGCAGGAGGGAGCAGGGAATTCGGAGCTGGATGGCTGAAGCCGGAGGGAGAGAAGGAGCAGGGGTACTGGGGGAGGAGGGAGCTGGGAGCCCCCCATGCTCTCTGCTCGCCCAGGTGAGCATCCCTTAGCAGAGAAGCACTTGGAGAAGAGGAGGGAAGGGATGCTTCCCAGTTTTCCTTTCACCTTTGACCTGTGGCCAGGGTGATCCCATGGCTGCCCCTGCTTTTTTCTGACCTTTCCTGGTAACTCCCAAGGAGGCCCTAAGATTGTGAGGAGGAATCTTATCTCTTCAGGACAGCTGGGGAGGGGGCTGACTAAATATAACCTGGCCTGCCTGTGGGCTAAGTAGGTTAGAGCCTGAGGGGCCACATGGAGGCTGTAGCGCCCCTCCAGAGTCCGGTCCCCAGCCCCCAGCTTCTCGCCACGAACCAGCACATCCGTCCTCCCCCTGACACGTTTGCCTTCCCTCCACTCGCAGATTGTTCATAGGAGGGCTGGAGACAAAGAAGAAAACTGGGGTTGACATAGCCCCTGATGAGATGATTCTCTGGTCCCTGGGCAGCAACTTGATAGGAACGCTGGCAGCTCCGGTGCCAGGCCTTGCCTGCCAGCTGTTGGAGGGATGCTGGGCTGAGGACGGGCCAGGCAGTGTGGAATTAAGATAGGCTCGCACCCTTGGGGATCTTTCAGGCTGGTTGGAGTTTCAGGAGAAGGTAGCCAAGCACCAGGCAGAATGTGAGGTTTGCAGCAAGTGCTCTAGACAGGAATGTCATTGCACCACCTTGGGCCTCAGTCATCTAGGCTGTGAAATGGGGCTGAAGCTGCCCTCACCTCACAGGGCTGTTGGGGAATACTGAGAACAGGGCTTGGAATGTGATGATGTGCAGTCTGGGGATTGCCTGTCACAGCTTCCTTCTCTTCCCTGCAGGGCCACCCATTCATCGTTCAGTTCAACGATGGAAATGCCACCGTGGTGTCCATGTGGGTGTGCAGGGCACTGGAGGAGAGGCGGAGCCAGCAGGGCCCCCCCTGAGGCTGCAGTGTGATGCTGAAAGCCCAGGACTGATCACCAAGGGGAAAACGTGCCTGTTGTGCCCTTCGTTTGCTGTCCGCACCAGAAGAGCTTTGCTGGACTCACCTTCGACTCTGCTGGCAGATGGCCTTGCCTAGGGAGCCCTCAAGGGTGGCCAACCCCTGCAGGGCAAGCCCTCGCCCCCCACCCCCGAGTCTGGAGGCCTGACTGGCAGGGAGGGTAGAGGGGTTGGGGCACCGAGAAGAGAGGCCCCTACGCCCTTGCTGCTCTTCCTTTTTCCTGACATTCTCCTTTGTAAAGGGTCAGGCCCCGTCAGTATCGCTGATGGGAATAAAAGTATTACTGCTTTGTGACTGCCCACCGCCAGGAGGGTTGTGCTGTGCAGAGGGTCTGTTGCCCACCCAGGGCTGGGAGCGGCGCAGGGATATGTGTGGCAGTGCCAGCCCCCCAGGAGCGCTTCCTGCAGTGACAAGGCCCACAGCCCGGCCCATTTGACAGGTGAAAAACTGAGGCGTGGAGGTCCCTGAACCAAGTCCCACCACGAAGAGTGGCCAGGCCAGCACTAGAGCTAAGACCTCAGGACCCATGTCACGTGCCCCTTGCCGGGCTGGAGTTTGTCCCCACACTTACGGGCCAGGCAGTCCCAGCAGCAGCTCCAGCTCCAACACAGGGATCTGATCTGGGGCCGTGGGTGAGGAAGGAGACCAAGAGCTGGGAAGAAGCCTGGGGTGGTTCTGAGAGGCCCTCCTTCCCTCCCACCCCACACCCTGCCACCACCCTGCCACCACCTCCTCTCTACAGCAAGCTGCCCTTGACGTCACGCCCAGGGAACCTCACCCCAGGGAACCTCACTCACCTCGGGCCATTCACAGCCATCCTGTTAGGTAATCCTCTCCATCACCGCCAGGTAAGTGTGTTACCCCCATTTTACAGGCGAGGAACCGAGGCTCAGAGAGGCTCGGTTGCACTTGGAGGTCTAAGTGGCGTCCTGACACATCCAGAAGCAAACTCCTATGCCACACACGCATCCAGAACCTCCACCACTTTCCCGTCTCCATCCTCCTGGTGCCCACTCCAACATACTGGGACTTGGCCTTGCCTCCTTTCTTTCTCTTTCACACCGCACATATAGCCTACCTGGAAGTCCTGCTGTCTTTACCTTCAAACTGCATTGATTCCACCATTTCCCATCCTCATCCAAGGCACCACCGCTGGACCACTGCAACAGACTCCTACCAGGCACCTGCCCCTGCCGTCTGTTCTCCACACAGTCACTAGAGTGAGCCAGGTAGAGCAAGGCAGATCCTGGCCCTCCCCGCTTGGAACCTCCAGGGGCTCCAGCTCACTCAGGAAACAAGACAAAGACCCAGCAATGGCCTGTGTGACCCTATACAGTCTGCCCCCATTATCTCTGACCTCAACTCCCATCACCCCCAACTCTCACTCTACTCCAGCCATCTGACCACCTTACTGACCCTTGAACATCCAGGGACACTCCCCCACTCAGGGCCACAGCAGAGACACCTAGCTGACGCCCAAAGGTTCATGCTCCCTCCATAGTGTAGGGCTGTGGGGAAGCTGCTACCCGGCCCCAGGCCAGCTCTCCCAGCCCCCTTGCATTTAACAGGGTCTTGTGGCTAGTTCTCATCAATTGAAGCAGATGGTAGGTTGCTTCCTGGCCAAGAAGCTTCAAATGCAGATGTGCCTCCTGTGTTACATGTTTCTCCATCCTCCTGCTAAATGGGAAAATGGCTATAGTGGGAGGTGCGGGAGGCTGAAGTCCGAAAGGAAGGAGCCTGAATCCTTGAATCACCAGTTGGAAGAACATGCTGCCCCCAGGAACCCGTGCGCTGGACTGTTAAATGAGCTTGAACTAAACTATTTTGCGTTTATGTTACTGGCAGCTAGTATTATGCCATCTAACATAGGCCTTCATACCGGGTGCAGGACGTTCTTTCTCCAAGTATCCACATGACTCACTTCTGTCCCATTCAGGACTTCGTTCATATGGCATCTCAGTGAGTCCTGACCTGACCGCTCTATTTAAAATCACAACCCGCCCACACCTGCCCTCTGGGACTCATGTTCCCCTTGCCTGCACCGCTGTCCTCCACTGCATTTGTTACAAACCACTAATTGTACTCATTTATTTTATCTTCCATCTCCTCCCTTCCCCTCCTCCCCATTGGAATGTACGCTGCACAAGGGCAGAGATTCTGGTCAGTTTTCTTCATGTGGCATCCACCCCTCCAGTGCCAAGAACAGAGCCTGGCCTCGTAGGTGCCCAGTAAATGTGGCCTGAGTGGAAACTGGCTGCACTGTGATTCCCAGCACTGCTCAGCCCTTTGCCCATGAAGGGCTCAGCCTATGTGAGGCATCCTTTTGTTTCCTGGGGCAGAGTTGTCATGTTCTTGGTAACACTTTTCAAGGTGGTACAGGCCTCCAGCTGCCCCTGGGCCTGGGGCAGAGCACCTGCCGCATCCCTGGGGCTGGGAGGTCACAGGATTAGATGAGGCCCGGGCCATCGAGGCTGCTGCTCCCCAGGTCAGTGCTCAGGGCAGGGAGAGCTTCACGGAGCATGTGTTGTGGACTTTTTGAGGAGGAGACGCTCCCCGGAGGGGCCTCCCCAGCCCAGAACATGAACCAGCCACCACCCAGACGTGAAGTTCATTCTTGATTTGAGAAGATTCACCCAGCCAGCCTGCTATCCCCAAGTCCCAAACCAGGGGAGGGATGGAAAATGATCAGGCATCCCATGCAAGCACTGTGCTGAGGGCTTTATCTACCTGTTTAATCTCTGCAGCAATCACATGAGGTAGGAGGTATTATTAATCTGCCCGTTTTACAGATGGAGGAACCAAAGCACAGAGAGGCTAAGAGACTTGCCCGAGGACACCCAGCAAGTAAGTAGCAAAGTACCGTTTGGAACTCAGAGCCGTTCTCTTAACCCTGGCTCCAGAGGTCAGTTCCACAAGCACTACATATGTAACGTGAGCGCGCACACACATACCCTGTCCTCAGGAACTCTGGTGTGCAAAGATACTATATCCGTACCTTTGGAGTGGGGCCCAGGGGTCTGCTCTGTGGCCACCCCCAGGACACAGAGGCAGAGTGTCCTCCACTGGCACTAAGAAACACTGCTCTGGAGGGCTCATCAAGGCCCTGGACCTGGAGGCCAGCTTCCAGGATGACCTCGGACAAAGCATGTCTCCACCTGAGCCTCAGATTCCTCTTTGGTAAATTCAGGAGTTGATCCCACTGAGTCCTGGAGTTCCTCCCAGCCCTGATGTTCCAGAACAGGGGTTCTCACCTTTTGGGGCCATGGACCTCCACAGGTGTCCCATAGAAGTGACAGACCCTCACTCCAGAATAATGTGCACCCACACGCTCGCACAGTTTTGTCCACAACTTAGGATTCGTGGAGCCCTGGAACCACTCACTCGTGGACTCCACGTCTGGAGCCCCAGCTTTGGGGCGGCCCTCAAGGTCTAAGTTTTCCTTGGGTTCAGTCTTGGGAAGATGGGGAGCTGGGCGACCCCTGAGGGCTTCTCATGCAAAGAGCCCTCTGGCTGACAGGCAGGGCCCTCTTTGGCCTATTTAGGCTCGGTCATCCCCCCAGTCACCCTTGAGAGCCCCAAGGCCAAACCGCCCTTTCCCTGAGGGGTCATGGAGGACTGAGACCTGGAACACGGAGGGACAGGAATGAGCTCTCCCCTCTGCCCAGAGTGACACCTCGCCCACCGTCACCCTGCCCGTGCAGCCAACCTCCACTCCTCCCTTGAGGCCCCTCTCAAACAGCACCTCCTCTTGGAAGCTTCTCTGGTACAGATGTGAGCCCCCTGAGGGTCTGACTCATCACCCCAGGACCTGGCCAGGGCGGCACATGGCAGGTGCTCTGAGTGTGGGAGGGCTGGAGGGCTGGAAGGGTCAGGCCTGCAGGCCCCTCCCCAGGGCTTGTCACTATGCTGTTGTGGTTTCTCACTCCAACCCTCAGAGACACCCATTTGCCTTCTAACCAGGACATCCAGGAGACCAGACCCCCACGGGATGCAGCCTCAGGCCTCAGACCCTCAAGTCTGGAGGGGGTTGTTTCTGGGACAGGTCAGTTCTCGTGGAGCCCGCAGTTCACACTGGGAGGTGGGTGCCACCCAAGCCTGGAAGCAAGGAGTCCCCTCAGCACTCAGCCCGCTGCCCTTGGTTTTCCCATCTGGGAAGTATGTGTTACAGGACCCCAGGGCTTTGGAGATGCTCCAGGAAGGCAATGGGGACAGGGTGGGACCCTTGTTCCCCACGTATGGTCAGACAAAGGCCTTGTGGCCCAAAGCAGTGTGACCCAGAGCTGAGCCCAGCCCATTTGGGGGTTGTCAGGCCAGTGCAAGATGGGCTGGGTGCCGTAACCTGGCTGAGGAAGCCATGGGGGGCCCCAAGAACCTGGGGCCTTGCACTTGAGCTGAACAGACGTGAATCTTTGGGGGGAAGGCATATGCTTCCAGATCTCTGCACGCTCAGTGCTGAAGGCCAGAATATAACCTCAAAGTGAGGCCCTGGGATGGTGCCAGCCATGCAGGCAGGCAGCTCCGCAGACCCCCTCTGTCGCACAGGTTGGTTAGACGGGGATGGACAGCTGCCTCCACGTGGGCTGGGGGAGCCCAGAGAGGGTCATGATGCTGCCTCAAAGATGTCTTCCATCCCCACTGACTGCTGCCCAAATTCCCCACTGGAGCTTCGTCCTGTAGCTAAGTCTGGGCCCTATTAGGATGGGAGCCTGTGTTCACAGAGTACAGGGAGGGTGGGGAGAGAGGCAGTGCCAGGCAAGGCTGCAGAAGAGCATGAAACAACAAGCAGGAGGGCAAGAAGGGAGCCAGCACCAACAGCCCACAGCAGCCCAGGCAGCCAGCGGGGTCCTGACTCCACACTTGAGGCCAGGTGGGTTCCCAAGGCTGTACTGGGTCCAGGTCCCAACCTCCTCATTGAGGCGCTGGGGTGCTTTCCCTTCAAGCAGCCAGAAATGGCTCAATCCCACCACAGGCGGGAGGCTGAGGCCAGGATCAGTTGCTGAGGGGCTTGTGGAGAAGGCCAACAGCTGTGGTGACGTGGGACAAGGGTGGGGAGCCCAGGCAGGTGGAAGCAGGAAGTGGCCCAGGACGCAGGCCCCAAGCCTGGCCCTTGTGGGCTCTGGCTGCTAGTGCAGGGGAGGGGGAGCACAAGGGAGATGGGAGGAGGTCACCAGCCCTCGGTGGCAGAGCTGGGTTTTGATGGCACTTCCTGGCTTTGTCATGACTCCTTTCCGGTTGGCAGAAACCGTGTCCTGATCCACCCGAGATGCCCGTAACCTGAGAGACAGGCAGGTGGGT